TGATTAAGAACCGGTGGCGGTTGAGTACCTTTTTTTTGTCTCAAAGTTCATTTTTTAAAAGCAACAAATAATGTGTAAAGTGTTTTTTATTTTTTTACTGAAATGGTTATCACTTTTTAAGTTTTCGCCTTTGTTTGTCATATATAAACTCTTGACATATTATCAGTAAATATAAAATATTTCGACGTGTATATAGACCAGAAATGAACAAATATTAACAATCTTAAAATCTTCGACTAGCTCGATTGATAAACTTAGTTTGTTCGATCTTATCATCATCATTTTGATGACCTTAATTTCATTCGGTAATGTCGACGGTATCACCAACGAAAATGTTAGTCGTCAAATTCCATCAACATTACAAAAGATGTGGAGAATGAAAATCACTTAAACAGGGTTTGAGTGTTAGTGAGACTCTGTTTTTTTCTATACCTACACCCACACCTTGCATATGTCTAAATAACATCTCTTGACAAAGTTGAAAAACGCTATTTCTCATAGAATATTTGTGTTTGAATGGGCGGATCAAAATATTCTAAAAACTAATACTATTTCGTAAATAAGAAGCACATAATATTCATTTGTCTATATCAAACATTAGAAGACATCATAATGATGTTCGATATCAATCTCGATTTACATTTGAATGATCTTTTTGTATTCATCGATATATGTCAAAAAAATGGCTCACTTATTGCTTAGTTATACTTGTCGATTTACCACAGACAATTTGGTGGATTTTATGAAATCGACACTTTAATAATGTGAGGTAATTGCTGGCGTTGAAAGACAGATTAGATATTGCAGTACTAGGTAAAAGCAAGAGAGAAATCCTAATTCATAAAAACAGAAAACATTTTACTTCACGTAAGAAAATGACAACATGAAAAGAAACAATATTTGTCATTTTCTTCATGATAATGTGAGCATTACTTATTCGTCAGGTACAGTCTATAAGATCTGTTAATGCTATCTAATCATTGCAACCATATTTAAAAAGCATCAGCTAAGACATTTTCAACATTGACTATAATCAGGTATTGATAGCAGGGTTGCCAGATCGAAAACTCAAAAATCAGAATTTTTTTTTTCAAAATCAGAAAACCATCAGAATTTTTTTTTGCAAAATCAGAAATTAATCAGAAAAGTCAGTTTTTGAAAAACCTAGTGGTTATTATGGTATCATGTTGGTACAAGATGCTCTATTGAATAGCTGTTCATTAATTCATACTTTTGTTTCAAAGATATTTCGCTATAGAAAAGCATAATATAATGAATATACTGTTTAGCTAACAAGGAAAAACTAATGAAGACACGTAGTGTCGAACTCTTTCGCTAAACTCAAAATTCGTTCACAAAAAAAGTACAAAAACAAATCACATATATACGATATAAGTTATAAGATCCTATGAAAGAAAAAAACTGATGATTATGTAACATAGATTCGATATTATTGTTCATATTTTCCATTTTTTCGAATTTGCTTTAACAAATGTGTTTGAGTTAAAAGATATTTATAAAATTGTTCACACGAATAATTATGATATGATTTAATTTCGCTAAAAAAGTTGTGATATGATTTAGAAAAGTTCAGAATTCAGGAGAAAAGCAGGGAAAATTATCAAAAACAGGAAAAATCAGACGAGAGTGCTAAAATCAGAAAAAATCAGACTGTCAGAAGGAAATCAGAAAGGCATCCAAATTTCAGACACTGTCCTGACTTTTCAGACAATCTGGCAACCCTGATTGATAGTATCAAATCCATCATAGTACTACAAATCTCATATAAAAGGTCTTGTTATCAAATTTTTCAAAGAAGAAAAAGACTTAAAGATATGGTCTATCAGACATATTCAACTGGCTTCGCGTCTCTTATTCAACTACATATCTTAGCATATAGATGACATAGCTATCTAGATACAATAAATCTAACTAAGCAACAGTCGAGCAACTAGTTTGACATATATCAATGACCAAAATAAGATTATTGAAAAGTAAATCGAGGCTGATATCGAACATTGTTATGATGTCTTCTAATGCTTGATGTAGACAAATAAATATTATATGCTTCTTATACAACAAATACTACTAGTTCTCAGAACTCTCTGATCCTCCTGTCCACATTGCATGAATCTCAACATAAGTTATTTCGTACATCATTATTTTTCTTTCATATAGTTCTCTATATAATATAAATTGTTTCATGTAAAAAAGAGAAAGCCACTACATGCTTGAAAGTATCAGGTGAACCATCATAACATTCAAAAAGTGTATTCATTAGTTTATCATATACATTAAAAACTCAATTCAGTTGAATTTCTTAAGAAACATCATTATATAATAAAATTTAGTAATGAAGTGTCCAGTGCCCCAGACAAAATCGGACACTTTTATTTTCATGACATCTCCCGTCTTATAAGAAGCTATAACATTAATTTTATTTTTCAGTAGATTATTCAAAATATTCTTTAGAAACCTCTATGCAAAGACTTTCGTATACTGCCCTATTCAGGACGTGGGTGGGTGAGAGTGTGGGTGTGTGGATGTGGGTGTGGGTGGGTGTGAGTGTGGGTATGGTGTGGGTGTCGGTGTAGGTGTGGATGTAGGTGTAGATGGGAGTGCCGATATGGGTGTGGATGTGCATGTTCGTTTGTTTACTAATCACACGCATATGCCCACTCACACCCCACCCCCACCCTCACACCACGCCCACACTTATCACACCCACACCCACCTACTCCCACATCCTCATTCTCATCTTAAATATCTTACTATTGAAATAACTTAACCAGCATGGACTGCACAAGCTATTCAAATGTTATTTTCATCAAGTCAAACACCTCATCTAATTTCATTTCGTATTGTTTTCTATCAAGCATCATTAATACCTTTTGATTTCATTCAATTAATTGATATTTTTAATGAACGATTAGCTAATTTAAAACGATTCGAATGTGATATTCTTTTATCAAAAGGAGTAAATACAATCGATTTGAAAACTATTCGAGAACTACATTCATTTTTATTTACCCATTTGAAATTTGTAACTCAATTTAATGGAATGTTAAGAATTTATACAACTGATTTCGAAGATTAAATATAGCAGAATCAAATCATGATGAGATCATTTGTTGTTTTATCAAATAAAAGGTTTATACTCATTAGATATGTGTGAATACAAATATTGTCTTACTAACAGTAGAGAAGCTACATAATCAATGATACTTGCCGAAGTAAATGCAGAATTTTATTAAATTAGTAATAAAGTAGACTGATGAATCTGAAAAGTATTCATTCCTGCAGGTATTGTCTCCAAAATATCGAATTCTTATAAGATTTTCCCACAGAACTGAATATCCCAGCAACATCGTATGCATGAATTTCGACTTGAAACTTTGTTCTCATCAAGATCTCAATTATGGTAAATTGTGTGTAAAATTTCAGACTCTTTGAATGTAATCTTTAACGTGTAAGAGGTGAGCCGAAAGTTTCTAGACAAAATACTTGACTATTTTTCGTGTATTTAAATGCATTGGAAAAGAATGAGAGGTAGAGCCCACCGGGTTGGGTCCGGATCTGACCGAGACGAGTTCGAAAATTTTAGACCCCACGGGCTCTAGTGCAAAGTAGTATATTAGAATCAAAGTTGTGTGCTCTTTCAGAATATTTTCTTAGAATTTTCCTGTGACTTTTAACTATTGATCTATAAGTAAATCTTGACAGCACTCAAAAAAATTTTCTTGATAAACAAAAATCTTATTTTTGTGAAGACAAGTCTGTTTTTTGTGGACATCAAATAAGTTCTGTTAATATATATATAGTACTTGAGGATGATCTCTATTCTAAAAAAAAGGACGCAAAAATGAAGAATTTTAGGTAATCCGCTAAAAACTGGCAGAGTTGTGACGGATGGTCATTTTGCACTGAAAAGGTGAAAATTGGAAAGATAGATTTTATAAACGCCTTTACTGCGTCGCGACAGTTTGAAAAAATTTTACCGCTTTGTAGAGAATTATTTTCTGTATCCCTCAATATAGTCGATAAAATATTGTGATATATCTCGAACAAATTTCATTTGAAGTTGTTTTCCTCGAAAAAAATGTTCGAGTCTTTTCAAGATTCACTTATAGCTCAATAATTAAAAGTCACGGAAAAATTCTAAGCATATATTCTGAAAGAGTACAAAATTCTGATTCTAATATACTACTTCTCACTCTTTTCCAATGCATTTTAATACACGAAAAATAGTCAAATATTTTGTTAAGAAACTTTCGATCCATCTCTTATGTCAAACTTGAGAGTTAAACTCAATTATTGAATAGCTGAAAATTGATAAGTTGAAATTCAAGTATTTCAGGGAGGTATAACATACAGGGCATCTCTTCCTCGGAAGGTACCGCAAAATCTTAACACAAACGAAAAACAACGTTCGGTAGTTGAATACTTGAATAGTAGTCCAATAGTTGAAGTCAATTTTAATGTTTGAAACTATTGAATATATACCTTGTGAGTCATTTTTTCAAGGGAAAAAGCGGCTCCTGGGATCCTTGGCTTCTGGGGAATCCGTAGAATTCCCCAGGAGTCGTTTTTTTCCCCTTGAATTTTTTATTCGTAAGGAAACAAATTGTGTGTAGTTATCGAGGGTGGGTGGTTGTGAAAGTATACATTATTATTTACAAGCTAAAAGTAATTTTTTTTTGTATTTTTAATGTATTAATATATAATAAATTAAATTATTTCTTAATTCAACAAAGTACATCTTATTTTTTATGTCATTTTGTTGTGAAACAATACGTTCTTTTTTGTTCGGACACAACGATTGTCGTATGTTTGTATCATACTGATAACAAGAAACATGCAACGTATATGAAAAATTCATAGATGTATTATTATCATATGTTTGCTCATTTTTACTATGTCATTAAAAAAAAAGAGAAAATAAGAACAAAAAGTAAAATTTGAGTACAGAAAAGACTCATTTGTTTTTTAATATTATTTTCATGATGTCTACTATTTCTGTTGCCAAAAATGGTCTCTTGAAAAATCATAAATCATATGTCAATCATTGTCAAAATATGAAAAATGAAGTGAAAAAATTATTAACATTTCATCCTAAAGAATGGATTAGTGCATTTCGATCAAATCCAGGATATCCTTTATTCGTACGTGGTGATATTGATGGTTTTGTTGCATTATTTATTAATAATTTATCAACATTATTAGCAATAATCTTAAGTTTACAACCCATTTTAGGAGATAAAATTGTTTATGGTAAGATTCTACCTGGGTAAGTAAATATATTGAACAATATAAATAATTTATAATTTCATAATAGAACTGGATTAGCCATGTTATGGGGTAATTTTTATTATGTTTATATGGCTCGAAAACTTGCGTTTAAAGAAAAACGTGATAATGTATGTGTTATGCCTTATGGCATTTGTACTCCGGGTGCATTTGCTTTTATTTATGTCATTATATCACCTACTTATTATGGATGTATATCTAAACATGATAAAGCTTACTGTCAAGAATTAGCATGGTATGTGGCTTTAGCCAGTAATTTTATTACTAGTATTGTTCTCTTGCTACTTTGTGTATTTGGTGAATTCATTCGAAAGAATACGCCAAGTGTCGCACTGCTGTCTTCCATATCTGGTATTGGATATGCTATTTTAGCATTGAACGAATATCTACCAATGGCTGAAACGCCAATAGTAGGTTTTATTCCGTTTACAATAGTAATGCTTGGATATTTTGGTGGGGGTAAAAATAGATCTAAGAGTTTAATTATCTTTTGAAAAAACTGATTCTAAATTTATTTTTTAGTTACATATGGTCCCGTACCAATTGCTTTCGTTGCTCTAGTAACAGGTACAATTCTCGGCTGGGCTACTTCACTTAATCAAGGCTCAGCAGTACGTGAAGCAGTTCATCTTTTAAAATTCTATGCACCAGTTTTTCCTATTAAACAAATGTTTCAACATATTAATACTATTCGTTTCTATCTTTCAACAACAATTCCAACAGCTATTGTGATTGCTATTGGAACAATACAATGTGTTGAATCAGCTAAACGAGCTGGAGATTTTTATCCTACTCATGAAGCCATGTTTGTTGATGGTATTGGAACATTAATTGCTACTTGTTGTGGTTCAATTTTCAGTATGACAGGTAATTTTAAAGAATGATTCGTCTAAATATATGAATTACATTCGTGTTTATATATATAGCTTATATCGGTCATCCAGCAATGAAAAAGATGGGCGCAAGACAAGCATATTCAGTAATGAATGGTCTTAGTTATTTACCATTATGTTTTCTTGGTATTAGTGGTCTACTCATATCTGTAATTGCAGTTGTAGCAATAAATCCAGTTGTGGTAAGTTTATTAAACATAGACAAAAAATTATTTAAGAATAAAAACTAAGAGATTTTCAATATTTATTAATAGATTTTTATTGGTTTAGTTATATGTTCTGATACATTAGCAACTACACCTCAACGTCATTATCCTGCTTTTCTTTTTGGTATAATGCCAATTATAGCTGATTGGGCTAAAGGTACAATTATAAATGGTGTGTCTAATGCTTATCTGAATTTTACTCTACCTAATGTTCAATTTTCATCTAATGTTAGTTCTTTCGTAACTGCTTTCTCATATCGTGGTTTGGCTAACTTTGCTGGTGGTTCATTATTACAAAGCGTTTTTCTCACTGCTATTTTAATGTATATGATCGATCGAAAATTTCTCAGAGCTACAATATGGTCGCTTCTTGCAGGTTTCCTTTCATTATTTGGTTTAATCAATGCAAGTAATGTAGGTGTATTGGTAAAGAATAGCGATGATGGCTGGCGATTTACTGTAGCGTATACTATGTTAGCTGTTTTTTTCTTATTATTAGAAATAGTACAAAGAAAACATTGGATAAAAGGACAAGAAAAAGAACCTGATGATTTGTCAAGTTTTGAATGGGCTGAATGGAAAAGAGAACAAACATTGGAAGAACCAATAACAGACGATAATATACAACTAAACTTATGATTTATTTATTTTTCTTCAAAATAAATATATAATAAATGTGGAAACCTCGGATTTAAATCTGAGAGTTATGTGTACTTCAAAAAGTGAATTAGGCAGATGAGCCATCCTAGAATGGGTGGACATCAAAATTATCCTGGCAAACCTTTTCTATAAACACTTCAATCCTATTGGCTACTGCTCAACCAATAGGATTTGGGAACGAATATAAATCAGATTTGAACTCTTCGCCCTGATTTACCCTCAGAAAGTCGTTTTTGTTTTTCCTATAACTTGATTTCTATTGGTCACTGCTAAACCAATGCGATTTCGAAGCAAATGGATTACAGATTCGAGTTCTTCGCCCCAGAAAACCTCGAGGTACCATCTCTGTAATAGGAAGATAGAGCTCTATTTATGGATCAACTAGAGCGTGGACACAAACAGAACCAATTTCTGTTTAATAATCTTTGTAATAGATGAGTTAGTCTTCTTGTTTCTTTATATTTTATATACCATTTTGTAGCTCGTGAAATTCTCTATCGAATGGTATATAATAGTTGGAGTTTTCTTTGACTTTGATAGGAAAAGTTGTTTACGAAAGTGGAAGGTGTCGATTTGCGCATAGGGAAGCATAGGGAAAAATGACTATTTTTTCAATAACTCAACAATGGCTCGCCCAATCATTCTCATCTTTGAACTCGACCGAGATATTGTTGAGACTAAAACACGCCCACGCCCCACACCTCACACCCAGATCTACACCCACACTACTTGTAAGTGAAGCAAGCAATAATAATATGAATTAAACAACCTTAATTATTGATAAGATGAGACATTTCATTTGGAAGAATAATGATATATACCCGAAAGCTACATGAAAAGATTATCAACTAACCAATTGTCTTTTTTTAGTTAACTTATTTGAACATGTGCATTCGTGGTGTTAAACCATGATATTTTTGTCCACAATAATACTGATGAAAACCATCTGTTGCATTTCCCTGACCTAATGTTTTAAATGAAAGTGTTGAAGCACCATCTATTTTTTGACCCATGAAATAAACATTCCATGAATCTTTTGCATAACCATCACTTAATACTTCAAATGTCATCGCTGATGCACCTTCAATTTTTTGTCCAGCAAAATAAACAGACCATGGATCTTTGGCATAACCAAAAGCAAGTGGCTCTATGATTGACATTATTAATGGTAGAGAATGAGAATAAACTATTTCTAATATCTAAAATAGCTATAACAGAATCAATATCAAAAAGCACAGTTTTGTCGACATGTTTTCAGGACATTATTCTCAAACATGTGAATAATACGAAAGACGACCAGCCATATACAAATATGTGTTCTCTCTTCAGCGACGAATTTCTGTTGTTCTTTAAAATTATTGGTTCTTATGGACATCTATTGAAAAAACCTAAACGATTCGAATGCATTGATTACTTTACTATGAATAATCGAGAATAAAAAAAAGAACGGAATGTAATCATAAATTTCTAACCAATGTTTGTCAAAGCATTTAAATCGTCTATTTAGCTATTGCATGTCAGAGAGGATCAAGATATTCACTTGTTTGTTTCATAGATGTCATTGATATTTACGTAGAAGAAATAAATTCATTCAAACATAGAAATAACTCAAAAATATCAAGTTCAAAGAACTAACTGTTAAATAATAAATATGTCTTAAGTATGGTATCTATTCATGGCATTTCATTTTCTAATACATGATAAAAGTTATAGTAAATATTTATTGCTGCATTCATAGACAGTATTCATCAGAACTCATGGATATGGAACACAGGCTATATTGAATGATAATAAATTACTATCTCTTCCTTTACTTATATTGTCGTGCAGATAAGAAGAGATGGCGTAGAACAGCAACATTTGTCGGTCTCGTGCTTTGTTTTTTTCTTCTTTTACTGACTCATTAACTAACAATGATTGCATACGTGGCGTTTTACTGTGAAAAACTCAACTATATATAAATGTATGTCAGAGAAGTCTTCAGAGGTTGTCTATTTTTTTCAAATTATCACCTTTAAAATACAAAAGGAATGGCTTCTATCACGGCATTTCCAGATTCTAACGGTTACACAAAATCATTTTCTCTGGAAGAAACATCTGAACTGTTAGAATTTTTCGAAGAATATGGGTTTGTCGTTGTACGAAATATCATCGACTCTCAATCGCAAATTGAAGAAACCATTGATGAAATTTGGAGTTTGCTACAAGTTCTTAATCCAAAAATTGACAAAAATGATAGTTCAACATGGGATAATAAGTATTGGCCAATTCAAATGGGTCTCAAAGATGGTGAGTATACAAATTGAAATGTCATTATTTATTGTTAATACAAAATTTCTATTAACATAAAAGGTGGTTTCATATCACATATGTCGGACGTTGCAACAAAAATGTGCTGGGAAAATAGACAACATCCTAATGTTGTTCGATTATTTCAAATTCTTCTTAAACATGATGATCTTTGGGTTCGATATGATCGTTATGGAATGATGAGACCTACCAAAGGTATTGCCTTTAAACAGAACGACAATGATGGATCAGTAATATTCGAAGATAGACCTGAATGGAGATCAAAGCCAAATTGGTAAGACAGAATAAAAGGTGTATGAGATAGACAAGTCATCAATATTCAAATAGGATTTTCATTTTTAATTTCATTTGGAATGATAGGGTTCACAATAAGAGAAAAAGTTTCATGCTATTATCTAAGATAAAGATTGAATTATAAATATAATGTCGTATGGTTCAACAGAAGTTATCGGAGACTTTCATTAAACTAAGGGAAAATTTGATTGTATTGTCTTTATCCTTATGATCATCATACAATTAAAATGATAAACATTTTAAATAATTCTTGTTTTTAATGTGATTCTAAATTCCGAAAGACGTCTTGCATACTTAACTAAGAGATTTTTAATTTCTATTGTAGGTTACATTGGGATCAGGTAAGAATAAATAAATTTTATTGAACTAATGTAGATATTTTTTGACAAGAATAAACATCTGATTTATGTTGAAAGAATCCTTGGAAATATCCAGATTTTATTGGTGTACAAGGTCTTCTCGCATTGAGTGACACAAATCCAACTACCGGAGGTATATTATTTGCTAAAAAACTTAGTAACTATTTCATTGTTTTTTCGCCTTCTTATAAAAATCAGGATTTCATTGTGTTCCTGGATTCACTCATCGTTTTAAACAATGGTCGATCGATAATGAAAAGGAACATAAAAGCCGTGGTGGACTTGTTAATGTGCCCGAAAATGATTCCATACGAAATGAAGTCAAACAAGTTCATGTTCAAAAAGGTTCTTTCATTGTATGGGATTCACGATTACCACACGGTAGGTGTTTCATATATGTTTCGTTTGAAAAACATTGACATGCTTTGTCAAAAAATCTCATGTAGGCAATTTTCCAAATGAGAGCGATCAATTTCGAATTGTTCAATATATAACATTTGATCCAGCCAAAGAAGATGACAAGCGTGAATTAACAAGTCGAATTGATGCTTTTCATATGTGTACATTAAGTTCGAAAGCGGATGAACAACTTGCTGGATTTCCAGAACCACAGCTAACTGAACTTGGAGAAAAGATTGTTGGATTGAGAAGTTGGAAAACAAATGAGAGAGTCAAAAGTTCTTTTGAATGATAGACCTATTGATAATTTTCAAAGTTTAAGAATAAAAGATTCTTTCATGAAATTTTAACTTCAGATCAAATATTGCCAATACTAAACAACACTCGATTTAACATCATGTGATATAGAACTGAAATTTTTAAGCATTATATATCGAAAATGGTATAATTAACTTTACATCAACGGCAAAGCTAACATATTTTTTGAAAGAGACAATAAATAATATATTTAAATCTTGACAGATTTGTTTACTGTTATAATTATTGTATACATTCACAGAGAGCCCATGCATTTTGAGTAGCTATCAAATAATGCAACGTTCTTTATGCCTTCATTACGTTTCGAAAACTTATACATAAAAGAAGTATTTATTAAGTCGCATGTTTATTGAAAAGTAGAGAAAATCTGGCGATAGTTATTTGAAGATAAAAACGGGTCTTTAACATGATGAATGCGGAAAAATCATAAAAAGATTTCAATAAAAATTTCATCATTCTGCTAGATAACAGTCAATAAATATCGAACTGAATCAAATACAAAATTCGCAATAACTCAATTTAACAAAAGCTAATAATTGTTGTTTCTTCGCAATAGACAAGTATTATACATAATAAATATTTCAATGAAATCACGATGTCCGAAAAGTGTTTTCAGGTTTTGATACCAATCTCTTTTCTATCTATGAAAGACCAAAAAATTTTTTCATCTCATACCGTTAATAGTTACCGAAAATTTCCTTATTTTTCAAACTTTTCAAACCTAATATACAGTATGTGACACTGGCTATCATGATTACCTTGCATATTGAAAGGTACCATACCTAGAGCAGGATGTCAAGAGTGTAACAACGCTCGTTTTGGTGCAAATCACTATATGCTTAAAATCATTGGCCATGAGATACGATTATACAGAAGGCTATGTCAAGTGTGGTCATGAAGAAATGTTTGCAGATACTATCAAAAAATAATTCTGCTATGGAATAAGCACAATTACTACAAGTGGCTTTGTTCAGTAATTTTCTGTTTGAATTTTTTCTACGATAACTAACTGGTTGTGCCTAGCTGATCAATCCGACGAAAAAAAAGATGCACATTCTCAAACACTTTGTAAAAATACTGTTTTCATCATCAACTGATGTTAAAACAAATTTTTTAAAAATTCTTTGACACATTTAAATTCAGAAGAGACAAACGTCCTTTAAAAGGCATATGAATTTTCTTGTCTATATTTTATATAATGGTGGAGTCTAAGTAGATCTATTTGTTAGCTATTGATCATCTATCACCATTTAATTTTTTATCACTTTATTTTACCACTGATGAGGGAAGGTCACTAAGTCTTAAATCTCTTTTGCATTGAGACTGGGTACCTTATGTAAGTACAATGAGCTATGAATACCCTGCAAAAAGTTCGGGCCACTATCTTGTTACTACAGAGATACTGCACTTTTATGATATATTTTTAAGTGAACACTGTGGCAGTGCCCAGAAACACCAGAAAAAATGATTTTCAAATTTCAGTTTGAAACTTTACATAGCAACAGGCCTTATCGAGCATAGGTTTTTTTGTAAAAGTTTCAGGTCTTGTTGCTGTTCCTATCTGTAGATATAACTATGATAATCTCATTGGAAAAAGCCAGAAGATTTGATGTTCTCATTTCAGGATAGGAATGAATCTAAAGATTTGAAACTTTCAGAAAAAGCTATTCTCGGTAATACCTGTTTCTATGTACAGTTTCAGACCGAAATTTGAAAATCATTTTATCTGGTGTTCCTGAGCGCGACCATAGCATTCATTTAAAAACATGCTGTAATAGTGCAGTATCTCCATAATAATAAGCTAATGGTCCAAACTTTTTCCCGGATATTCATAGCTCACTTGTACCTACATAATGCACATAGTCTCACTACGAAAGCTATTTAACACTAGGTGACCTTCCCTCTTGAGTTTGACACAAACATTTATACACTAGTTTTTTTCCTAACAACGTTATAGGAGCGTTCACAACAACTTTTATCTGTCGTGACAATTATTATGCTTGATAGGAGTATAGTAAATAGGTCATTATATTTTTATCACCAGTTCTTGTTTGATATTTTCTGTTCCATTGAACGTAAATAGCTGACTTTTTCTTTCACATGCATATCATTAAAAATAAGAACAGATGGCTATTATATATTGTAATCGATAGCTCAATAAATTTATCATAATGTAGAAAAATGTATATAAAATTTCCATGAATGTCTATTCATTTTGTAGCTGTTCGTTTCCTATTTATCAACAAGCTAAAGCTCGAGCTGTCACTCCATTAAAATGTCTTTTACTAGCAACAGTGAACAACATTTTGGAAAGCAAAAAAACTGCTTTATGTGGACCCGTATTCTTCTATCAGTTTCTCTAACTCTTAGTGTGAGTGTTTTCACTATTGTTTATACTATTCAGCAAGATTCTTTTAATCGTGTTCACCACGAGCAACAACTGCATGATACTGAGAAATTACGAAGGCAATTAATATATGATATATATCTCGACGATATCTCTAAACATCTATTATCAAGACTAAATGGTAGTGAAGAGAAAACGAAGTTACACATTCGAGCAAAAACACTCAATATCTTTCAGTATCTTAATTCTTATCAAAAGACAGAAATCGTTCTTTTCTTATATGAAGATTATCTCATCCGATCAGATTATGTTGAACTTGCTATTGACTTGAAAACAGTTGACATGACTGGCTGTCAATTTATGGCACCATGCAACTTAAACAATCTCTATCTGCAAGATATGTTAGCTGATAAGATTGTATTCAATGAATGCAAACTTTGACATGCCGTTTTCAATAGATCGTCAATGGTTGAAACAAGTTCATCCATTCGCATGCATCAGGCGCTCAATTCGATGCAGTCAATTTGACAAATGTTATTTTCATACAAATCACCAACCTTAAAATTAAGTTTAACAACGCTATTCTTGTTCATTCGAGTTTTGTTGATGGGCCGAATCCTCAAGCCGTTGATTTCACCAATGCCGATCTGTTCAAAAGTGATTTGACCGATGAACAACTTGTTTTCAAACACTTTTCCGATATTAACACTCTTGTCAACACTCGATTTCCTAATGGATCCTGAAGTGATATTAATTCAAGTCAACTGATTATCGATGGACGAGCAGAATTGAGTGTGAGTATATTTTGAAATAGTTTAAAATATATTGAAATGAGTGCCTCGATTGTTCAACGATTCAAAAAGCTTGGTGCACCTTCGGAATATAATTAGAAGTTTCAGGTTTGAATATTTACTATTATCTTGTCTACTAAAGTGAAATATATTTCGAAACTAGCTCCTGATCGTACCAATTTAATAATGCTGGCAAGAATGTCACTTTTGGTTTTCAGACGATCGTCTCTTTATCTTTTTTGTGAGAAGTATAACGCTTTTCTTTTCAGTTTCATTTATACATCCTTAATACAAAAGAAGGAAATATCTTGTGCTCATCTCTCTGATAGTAATAAACAATTCATAGTCATTTATATTAAACATTTGCTTAGCAAAATGAATCTTTTATTCTTATGAATTACAGATGAAATACAGAACATACAGAATGGGCTTTGATTTTCTTCGTAAGAAAAATTGATCTGGATGCATAGAAAGAAAAGAAAAATGGTGATGCACTTTTTTCAGTCTAGAAGTAAATCTTAATTGTCAAGTTTGTAAAATACGTCTTTCTTTAAAAAAAATTAAAGAGAATTATCAATTAAAACCTCGAACACAGCGAATAAAAAGCGATTTCGAGTAGCTTCTATCACATCTTAACAACTTTAGAATTTTTCTGGAATCCATAAAAACAAAATGAGTCGAACGACAATCACAATTGTCTACATGTATCATCATCGTAGCTTTAACTCATCTAGACATTTGCTCATGTACGTATTTTTCAGTAAATCTTCTATCGTTGTTTTCTAGATAATAAAAACAAATAAAAAATCTCTAATAAGAATGAAGTGGATTTGAAGATTTGAGACCTGCTTGACATTGGTTTTCTCTTTCATAAGGATGAATTAGGATACAGTCGAAAACTTCAGATAAAACACGATGGGAAAAGATTTCTTTCAGTTAATTGATAGAAACCTTACAGTTCAACCTTTCTGTTTACGAACTAATTAAATTCAATGATTTCTTGTTTTAAGTCCTCTACACAAAATCAACAAGTGTTTTGGGAGATAGTGCCTTCTTATCCAGCAGTCATTTTTAAGAATGCTTCCATGTTGAATAATAAGCTACGACCGATTGAAGGTATTTGTTACTTTCAATATTTTCTCAATGATAGCGAACGGTTTCAATCGATATCTGTACGGCATTCCTCTGTTCTAATCGACAGTGGTCAAGCACGATTCTATATTTCGGCTTATTTCAGCTGCCCTTTTTGCTTAGTTCAGCTTATGTTCACGTCGGCTTCCATACAGAAGAACTTCTTTATATCGGGACAAGCCCTCTATTAATCGGTAAGATTTATTTTCAATAGAATATAAAATGTTTTTTGTCCCTACTTGTTTTTCAGAATCTGAAAATAAATCATCCTTTCATTTAAAAGCTCGATCAAGCAAAGTTCCTGAGAAAACTCGTTTCATCTACAGTAATGTAGGTGCGAATGCTTTACCGACAAATGTCAACAATTCCACCCATCTGTATTGTCTCGTTGACGACATTAAATTGAACTTTTGTTAAAGGTAACATATATCTACTTCGCATTTCTCTTCATCTACCTATTATGTTTATATTTAGATGCTGTCCATTAATTTTCTTCTTATATAAAATACAGAAACATTTATCGACTGATTACATTATAAAAATGAAAATTACTATAGTTTCACTATTGCTTTTGTTTTGCATATTCTAAAATTATCAATATAGTAAACAGAGAGAAACATTCATTCTATTGAACTTTTGTTATTTTGAAAATAAAATGATTCTTTTACATTATATCAGACCACCAATCATTGTCAATAAAGAAAAGAATTTTCATTATTCAATATGATCAGTAGTCGAGTTATGTTAGAGAAAAATCATTTAGAATGACAATAACTTATTATTTTCTTAGATTCATATAATTGGTTTCAATAGAGAAAAACTAACTGTAGATTCTTGTGAACAAAGAAAGAAAATATTCCTTGAATATCGTCATATTCCATGCAACTAAAATATAATTGATGTGATAACAATTTTTACATTGAAATAATGCTAAATATCGCTCAAGCATTTTAAATTTTAGTATTCGTTCAATATTCTAGGACGTACTAAGAGCTTTTTATACGCAAAGAATAATTGCAATATAATCTATTCGAATAATAAACAGTAGGGTACATCAGCTAGTTATCCAATGTTATCTATATATACATATATATATAGAGAGAGAGAGAAGGAGATTTAATGTGTATTTGTAGCAAATATAATCTAAATCACATGCATACTATGGATACTTTTAACAAATTACGTTGAGCATTTTTTGCTTCATTAAATGACATATCATGGATCCCTGCTCATATATATATGAGATCGCTATAGTTGGGTGATTACATAGTTTGGCACATATTCATAGAGCAATGCAGTCGAGTTTCAGCGCTACCAATCATAGAGTGACTTGTGCAAGTCATGAACGATGAATTACCTCAGATTACTCATTGATAGCATGCTAACCACGTTGTAACTTACATTGGTCTTCGTGGCTAGTATTCTATATCATAACATTATAAAATCGTTGTATGTTTGCACCACCTATCTTATAGATGGTGATTGTTTAGCTTCCTAAACCAACAGTTAACAGCATAGTTTTAGATAAGCATATTCAAGTGAAAGAATATAACTCAAATTTTTGCCGTCGTATAATATTCTGATTGATTATGGCTCAAACACTCAATCGAGTTCTAATAACAATAACTAGTGTAAATGTGAAATTTTGCACACTAGGACTTAAGACTAGTTATTTTTGGTATTTGTATTTTGATTTGTATGACATGCAGGCTATTATTTGTTTGATCTTAGGACAGAAGTATTGCATCCTTATGAAACATTTAAAAATCATGAATATGAAGTAGATATTCTTAGTGAAACAGGTACAGTTGGTATAGATGAATCGTCTTCTATATATGCTCAAATTGATAGAGAAAGTTGAAGAGCGCTCTCAATGATAGAACTCATCCATTACATCAATTATTAGGAGCACAATTAAAAAAACCTGACGATGTTGATCCTAATAAATATGTTATTATATATTATTCAGGTGGTCATGGAGCTGCCGTTGATTTTCCAAAAGCTACGGGATTACAACGTATAGGTTCATCTATCTATCAGAATGGTGGAGTTATTGCAGCTGTATGTCATGGTCCAGCTATGTTTACAAATTTAAAAGTAAATAATGAATTATTAATCAAAGGAAAGAAAGTTAGGACATTTCATACAAGTGGTGAAAAATTAATGATGCCTACAGATAGATTAAAAGAACATAATTTACTACTTATGGAAGATTTATTGCGAGGTTTAGGAGCTGATTGGCAGGTAATTGCATTAGAAAATTTATAGAAATATATACTCTCTTGTTTAATTCATATGCGCCACCAAATATTAATCTAATGAGTGCATTTATTGTAGTAGATGGTCGATTAGTTAGTAGTGATAATCCGGCATCAGCATCAATAGTAGCACAAAAAGCCGTAGAAATTGTAAAAAGTGTTCATGTAGATGATAAACAACCAAAAAAGAGCATATTTTAAGTAAATATGTAGTTATTGCCAATGCATGTGGTAGACATATCAATATATCAGCAATTTTATGCTTATGAATTATGTTATACCAGCATTCAATATATTAATATGTACAAGGATGATTGTTTATATTATGATCGCCAATTGGTCTACAAATTGAATATTTCAAATTATTCCCGCATTGGCACAAGACTTTGATTAACTTCTTCTTTTTATAAAAAAAATCAGCTGAAGTTTTATAATTTGAAGTGTCTATCTGTATAAATGTGTTCGTATACATTTTTGTGAAGATTATATTCTCCTAAAAACATATTACCAAAATGAAGAGTCGAATTGGTATATTGGAATTTTAGCCTATGCTTAGATTGACCTCATTGACCTCTATAAAAAGAACTATTTTCCGTAATTATTTTTTACAAAACGTAGTGTTCACCACGACCACATAGTGCGGATATGAGAATATGGATTCTTTTTTGATCATCACTCACATCAATGCTCATACTATGTCGTCATTTTGAGCAGTACGAAGTGTAGGAATTAATTAAAAAAATAGAATTTTTTAAAGAGGTCAATCTAAGCACGGACTGAAATGTCTTCAGGAACTTCGACCTGGTCTGAAAAGTCACCAGAATTACGAACAGAGTCAAAGATCTGAGCCAGAAATTCCACGGACAGAAATTTCTGCAACCCATCGAATCGATACAGATTATTATGAAAGTTTCAAAATGAAAAACATCCGATAAATTTCGAATTTTAAGAAGAATATAAAATACAGAGAATAACTTCAATTCACGAAAAAACAACATGAGTAACTCCTTAGCAGGTAAATGGATGTAAATAGTTGTTTCACAATTTGATCACTCAAGTTAATGATACGTGTAAAAATGACCTAGGGTTAAATGTTCGGTCTATATAACTCATCTTCGCATAGCTGTTGAAGGTATTGAAACTTATATGAGTTTAATAAGAGATTTGCCTTTATAATCTGGCATGTTCTTGTTTGTGGCAATGAGTAAGCGTGTGCAATAGACCGAATACTTGGCCCTGATTCATTGTCATAGGTAGCATTAACTTTATTGACTTTTCTTCAGGAATTATTTTACGATCTTTCAGAAACTCATTGATTTTTGACAATAGCAATATCATAAAATCTTGATAATAGGATTTTAATACAGGATTGACTTGACGTTTTTTGTCAAATCAACTTGCAGTTTTCTTTTTACAACGATAACTCTCTCAGATTTGATCATTAGTAAAACTATTTTAGTTCTGACCTCTGTAGACACATACATATTGTCTGACATATATTGAATAAAACATTAATGAATATGTGAACAAATTGTGAAACAACTATTTGCATCCCTTGAACTGTTAAGAAGCTCTATTCACGTTTTTTTTCCTTCGAATTTTTGAAACATTCTGTATATCAAAATAATATTTGAACATGTTTGATATTGTATAAGAAAATATTGGCAAAGCTAAGACTAAGACTGTTTTATCAAATGGACTAATAATTACGATAACCAACTTAATAAGCTCTTTTGGAATTAATCAAAACTTTTATGTTCTATAACTTGATAAAACTGATAGGGAATATCATTTTTATAAATGGAACAAAAATTATATCGTTAGTATACATCCAGATGTAAATAAATATATTTTTAAGTCTCTATTGAATTCGTTCTAGCTTCTTATATTTATTATTGTACTCTCGAACCATACAAAATAGTTAATAAATAACAAATTCGATGATTATAGTTTTGTATAAGAATCATCATACACCAACTTGATATGTTTAGATCGATAAAACGGTCGCGATAATCTATGTGAAGGAAAATTCAATCAAAATAAATAAAATATGGTTAAAAGTAGTTAGAATATATAATTACTGCTTTATTTCTGCAAGCAAATGTTGTATCATCATTGGTTCTTTTAACACGACAGATACATATGTGTCAGTAGAGTTGTCTTCTCTTGTCGTTTTTAAATAAATATGCAAATCTGTATCATAAAACAAACAAAAAAAGAATATTTGAATAAAAAGAAGAATAAAATGAATTGACCTGTTCTAATCAATGTTTGCGAATGCCCAAGAAGTCGGAGACAACAATTATAAATTGAAAGATCATTTGTTACAGTTGCATATGGTGAAAAAAGAGTGACTGAAATTAAGAAAAGTAAACAAATTAAATCAATAAAAAGAACTAAAAAGTTGGTTACAATAAAAGTTGATTCGTTTTATCATGAAACTCATGTTTGAATAAATTAATGGTATAGATTTTAAATGATACATTAGTTTTGCTAGAATTGTTTTCGATAATTGAATGTCACTCATGACAACCTTTGCACCAATACGCCAACTAATGTATAGAGAAAAGTAAATATTATAGAAAGTTCAACCCAAAACTATTATACCTTGTTAAATTTGCATCATTCGAAAAGATACATTTGTAAAAATTAACATCAATTAATGGTGTTCGTCGAAGAATATGTAGTCGGTTTTTTCCTATCAAGAAGTATAAATTAATTGTTTATCTTCATATTTATGCTAAGAGAAAATACTTGAACGCGTATACATTATTCGTAGATCGCTCAATTCTAATTTGTATTTTGCATAGAATTCTTGTTCTTCAGATTGTTCCTTTAATACAGAAAGAAAAAAAATTAAACAATAAAGTCATACTTAACAAAAAACTTCAGAAAAAGTTAGTGAACAGATATTGAAATAATAATATATACCTTAAATAAAGATCTATCAATATCGTCATCACTATTCTCGAGTCGTGACTTCAGCATCATATTGCCAAAATTAATACGAAGCATTGAAAAACCTCTATGAATAAAAGAGTTATAGAAAACGAAATAAAAAGTTATTTACGGTTGATAGACTCCGCATTCTGGTAAAAGAATAGATGCTCCTTTCAAATTGACGGTCATATCCAAGATTTTCTTAAATGATAACTTCTGTTTCATTTCTATAATTGTGTGTTGAATTAGTCTAAATATTAAAGACGAATAAATTATATTTTTCGACTAAGATATATCAACGAACTTTGGCATTGGTGGCCAAATAACATCATTATTAGCTTCAAAACAGTCAATAAGTTGATTAATCGTCGGCTATGAAATAAAAAAACAACAGTTTGTAGCTATTTATAGTTTGAACTGAAATAAATAGAAACTGATTTGAGTTGTCTGAAAAAATACAGCTTGATGGATTCATTAATTCGTAATATTAAATATATTTTGTTTTTACTCACAGCATCATAGATAAATTCAATCGGTTCCATAGTCAAATACAAGCGATTGTCTGATTTCGAACTCGCGGTAAACAATTCAAATTCGATATGTAAGAGTGGAGACGATGATGATAATATTGGTTTTATCAATATGGGTCGATATTGGTTATCACGATTTGCACCAAATACGTGCATAAATTGCAGTTCAATCATACATCTTAATCATAAAAGCAAAAAGATAAACAGACAATAGATAAAAATCTATATTTTAATTTACTCGATTCTCGATGTAATAGACATTTTCTTTAGGTTCATCGAAGCTTCAGTTATGCTAATGCAGGCAATGATTTCGTTATTGGCTCTGTTGGCCATTAATCTAAATGAATAATAGTTATAAATATCAATTATTATATCTAGATGCGTGCACAACCAAATCTTAGTTTTTTTTCTATTCTAATGTTAGGCTTGCATATTTTTAATTTATATAAAGTCATTTGACAGAATACCTAGTGTTTGTAGCTGTTGATAAGATATTTAAATTTACTTGATTGAAATTTATTTCAGCGTCTATCTTGGGCAACTTCAAAAAAATGAATAGAATAAAAGACTCTATGATAGTATGAGAAATCCCACAATAAATATCGAGACAACTTACATCGTCAAATAAGAAATCTGCTCCATTTGGTATATTTGCTGTAGTTGTTGTTGTTTTTGTGTGCCGACGATCTAAATTAAGTAACAATATATAATTAAAAATGATTTAGATTTGAAAGTCATATTATTTGAGATTATTTATTGATCAATCTTTTAGAATTTTGTTAGAACATATGAAGTCTAAGCAACTTATTCTTTTCCATCATAAAATTATTGAGAACTCTTTACTGTAAATGATTGAAGGTTATTCAAATTTTTGCTCAAGCATTATAAATATAAACATGTGCTGAATTTAGTTAAATTTTTTGGGATTTAAAAATCATGATTAATTTTCTATAATATCAACTTTATCTATGAAAAAAAACTCATCAATTAGAATTAATGCAAAAAAAAGATTCATTTTCTTAAGAGTCTATGAAGTTTGTTTTTTTTTTATTGTAAAAATGTTAAAGCTGATGAATTGCTCTTAGATCATTGATAATACATACTTTTAGTGAAATGATTGAAGCTATTTTTTACTTTGGACAACGAATGGATTCGGTGAAGTTTACTATCTGTTTTAGTATTTTGAGCAGAACTATTGACCGATATTTGATTCGTTGCGATCTGTTGTGTTTGATCAATATCATTTGTTTCCATGTTTGAAGAGAAATGGTTAGTTTCTATTTCAACTTTATGACGAATATAAGCCAGATGAAAAATGTCCAATTTTGATTCGAGAAACTTTTGTATATAAAACAACAACAATATTACACTCTAGCTGTTAATTTCAATAATTACTTGAATACGTTGTTTTTGGTCTTGTGTCAATGGTTCGACACCTAATGACACTTGCAATAGTAGTTGACGATATTCATGACATCGATCTTTAAAAAGAAAAATAACATGAATATTCACGATGACGCTAAAATAAATAAATAAATAATAATAATAACTATACCATAGGATTTCGTATAATTTTGAAATTTAACAAAATCAAGTATATCAGATATTTGTTCTGCATCAACATGAAAATTCATTTTTGGAATTTGAATATTAAAAATTAATGTCGATCGTTCATAATGATGTTGTTTAGGCTTTAATGTAATCCAGATTTCAGTGATAAGATTCAAAGGACGAAGGACTGTTGGAAAAACAATTAAAGAAAAGGCAAAATTGTCATATTTTACATAGAAAGATCGAATAGAAAACAAACCGTATTTCATTTCATCGTCATTTGGTATATAATTATTCGTGGCTATTTTTAATTTAAGATCATCCTACAATTATTCACTCTTTCATCACAAAATTTATTTATGACATCAAATAAATTTAGAATATATTTATATTAAATCGGAACATATTTTAAAATCCTAATCAAGTTGAATTAAGACAATCTATATGATGAAGAATTTTTTTTTCTTGCACAAAGAAACTTGAAAGACTACTCAAATAATTTTTGATTCGTTACAAAGTTTCAGTCTTTACACAATTGTTCCTATAGTTGAAAAATGACATTCAAACTATTTATCAGTTCTGAAAAACCTCTCAAAATTATATTATTGACGCTGAGATATCGCATTTCACTAGTTATGGAAACGAATTTCTTCGAATCATAATACATATTATCATAGATGATCTTAGTTTTATTTTCGAATGAATTAAAACTCTCACCAGAACTTCTTTGAATGACATGTTAAGTCTTGATTTACATTTTGTATTCCAATAGATTGACAATGACTTAATTTCGTTGATCTAAAATAATTTTTCGTAACGATTTATCATCAATAGAAAAAAAGACACAATTTTGAACAGACTCTATAAGTAAGAAGTGTATCTTCTTTAGATCGTTTATTGAACTTCGTATTGGTTGCCGTCTAAAAAATTGTATCTTACTTTTTAAAGAATTGTAAAATATCGAATAGATTACTACCGTTAAATGTATATAATGAAGAGTAATTCCAAATGAAAATGGATGTCCCAATTTAGTTGGAGATTTCATTTCATAGCAAACATGTATATTTCGAATTGTTAAAATCATATTTCGCATAACTTGAAGTCTCATTCGTTCGACAAATGCCCATTCCTTATTGTCAAATATTGCATTTTCTGTTAAATTATTCGTATAAAACAACAACAAAAAAAAATTCTACTACTAACCCGATGCAACTCTTCGAAAATTTTCCAATTTTTGTTGAACTCGTTTTGATTTCTCTGCATAATGTTCACTTAAATCTTGACTCATTTCTATTTAAAAATAAAAATTTTATTTTTATTCAATTAAAAAAAGTGATATTATTATGTTCAAATCATATAAGTTCTTGATTATATAACTCATGACTCAATAGAATTAGTTGAAAACGATGGATAGTAAATATAATGTGAAATGAAATGTTTTTCTTGTCGATTAGCCTTTAAAAAAAGTACAAATAGACTTAACAAGATAAATATCTTAACTTTTTTATACGTTTTTTTAGGTGATATCTTATATGCGAATAGAATTTGATACGACTAAGAAAATTTTAAAATGTATATTTCTCATTATTTTTCTGTCAAATGTTACAACTGTTTTATTGAATTTTCGGTCTACGACAAAGAATCTACATGAAATTCGAATAAACAAATTTTGATCTGAAATTCTTGTTACAAATGGATCTAATGATTTCGAGTGTACATCAAATTTTTATCTACAATAGACGTTTTCTTCATATGGTATTGAATTTTTAAAATGTTACATCTTATAACAAGCAGATTACAATAATTGAACTGTGGTTATTATTAAATATCTCAAGAAAGGTACATCTATTTTCACTAAAAATTTTGAAATATGCTAGCAATTATTACATCTATTTATGACAATAATCTTAAATCAAAATTTGTTCATTGAAATTTCTCATGAATTTATTTGTTCTAGACGGAAAATTCAGTAAAACAATCTTAAAAAATTGACTAACATCTTATGGCAACGAACAATTTTCTTAGTTGGGTCGAATTGTATTCATAGACAAAATATTAGTTTAAAAAACGAGAAAACAGTTTGAGTATTTTTTACATTAGATCTTTAAAATAGAAAAAAAATATGTAGCGTACTTTAGCAACACTTTAAATTCATTTTCTTTCTACAATCGGCACTAAACAATATTATATATAGTAAATTTATGTTTGACCTCTCTCTATCATGGTATTTTAAGAGGCTTTCTTATATTTATAAATAATCGTTCGACTATAAAAAATTAAAACAATCTCAAGTTCTATTCTAAATCACTCGAAGTAGAATAACATGATTAATTTTTTTCTTATTGTATGAATTCAATATTTCTTATTTGTAAAATTTAACGAATAGATTATTCACGTACCATTCTTTGGCACAATCAACATATAGAGTCCATCAATATGAACTTCGGTTGGACTCGTCGAGAGACTATTCCATGGAATCGACACTCTCAATTGTTCTATCAAAAAACAAAGCATTCATAAAAATTACTTTTTGATCGTAATGATAAGACCAAGCTTACCTAAATATCCAACGGCTACTGTAACTGGAATATTGAGATAGGCCTATATTACATGAAGAGAACAAAAAACAATAAGTTATAATTTAGATTAACTTTTTATTTAAAAAAAAATTCTATCGAAAAAAAAAACTTCACAAACCAATGCTTCGGGTTTCAGACGAAGATTATCCAAGAAGATCTTTCCTATAGGAAAAAAAGTGGATTGATAATCAGATACAATAAAAAACAAAAAATACTAACCACTCTTCAAACTTAAACTGACTTTTTCATAATCAATTCGTTCAATGTAATTTTTAAGATATTTATTGATAATATAATTAATGAAACTTTTTAATACCATCTCGTTATTTATTTGAACACTCACAATGTATTTAACTACGAATAGGTACACAAAATAATATGTATTTTTCTTATTTCGATCGATATATTCTAGTCTTACACGTGTTATATTAGCATGAAAAATATAAAAGTAACTTCCACAGGTAGTCATGTTTTCTTCGTTTCTTTATCTTACTTTTGCTCTCTTAGTATGTGTCATGTCAACATGAGTAAAACGAAACGATAAAGCAGAACAGAACAAGAATTTTAACAGAACACGATCATTACATATTCATATAAACGAATATAAAATCGTGACAAATCAACATTTTTTTTTGACATTATTGAGTAAATAGGTGTCATAGACAAAATTTAATTATAGATTAAAACAAACTTAGATTGATCTCGTTTTTAATTACGTAGAATAATACAAAATAATTTTTTTTTACTTAAAAATAAATTCTCATTTTCATTTCCATTAAGGAGAACATAACACATACTGCGTGTTAATTATAAGTAAAGAAAATATTCATTTTCACATATTCATATTCAAATGTCTAAATGAATTATTTCTTCTGCATCGACATGAGAAAATGAAGTTCAAAAGTATTTTTAATAACAAATAAATGAATATATTCATTTTTTGAGCATCGAATTCCGAATAGATGATATATATTATTCTATAATGTACATAATACAAAAGTCAAGTGGATTTTATTTTTCATTGATTTATGTATGGATTTATAGAGCTTAAAGAGCTGAGTATGAATATATTACTTTTATTGCAAATAACTTGTCCGTTGTAAAAAGCTTCAAATATTGATAAGACTATAGATCAAAGCATAATCATTTTTTTTCTTAAAACAACTCTTAAGTTTCTATCATCATTTTTTTCAGCTGTTACAACATAGTTGTTTTTTGCAAATTCAGCATAAAAAACTGAGTAGAAAAATATTATTTTCTTAGAATGAAAATAAGTAACATAAAAAATTGCTATCAATATACATACTTAAGGTTAAAGTATGTGTTTATATATATACTTTTGTTAATCTATCGAATTTTTTATGACATAAGATAAGATCAAATGTCATATCTCATTTGAATCAGATGATTTTGAGCTAGAAAAGTACCAATTTTGTTCTTTTTTTCAAATTGAACATTATGATCGTTTTAATTATTATGCAACTTTTCTATTCACATTAATTAAATAAAATTACTTTCTATTTGCGTCTTTTTTAATTGTATGAGTAATATACAATGTCTCATCTCTCTTATTTTCTCTACGCCATATGATTAAATCATGACAAAAAAGACTTACTAATTACTGTCTTGTATAGAAAAATGAAACGCTATTAATTTCGAATTCAATTGATGTGCATCTTTATATATCAATAAATGCAACCATTAAATCTGAAACCTTGTTAATATCATGTAGTCGAAATACATAATTGTAATACATGTTTACAGAACGAAACGTCGTTTATGTCTTGATTTGAAGTCAAACATGAAATTTCTTAAAAGAGTATTTTGTTATCTGAATTATAATTTTAAAAAGAGATACATTGAATATTCGAATTATTATTATCTTTTAGTTCGTATTTAAATAAAATGAATGGACTATCATGTCGAAAATAAATATTTATCGAATATATACAGCGACTTCGATGAGGCACAGTCATCATTTTCATTAGTAAACGAAACTCAATTCTGATTGGTCCATTAACATTATATTTTAAGCAATACCTACATTTTAGTTGATATCGACTAACCATGCTTATTAATATTCATATCAAATTTAGTAGTGAATAAGAGAGCTAATCTGATGAATTCAATGAGTTGTCATAAGATATTAACTTTTTAATTCATTTTGAGATGTCTTTGGATTGGAAATCTAATCCACCTTATTCTAATGCAAAACAAGATGATAAATTAATAAAATATCATGCATCATGCTACTGTGGTTTAGTTCAATATGTTATTTATGATGAATTACAAGTCGATTCAACCTATTGTCATTGTCATGGATGTCAGAAATTACAGGGTGCACCATATCAATGGGCTTGTATATTTCCAAAAACATGTTTATTTTTTCAATCAGGTTTAGATTCATTAAAATTTTATAATAGTGGTGAAAATATTCAAAGTCATATTTTACCATGTAAAGTCAGTTGTAAACAATGTTCGTCACCATTGGCTGATGAAGGACGTAGAATGTGGTTGGCATTTCCACAAACATTTACAGAATTTCGTTTATCCGAAACAGTTCGAGAAAAATTAAAACCATCCTGTCATATATTCTATGGACAAAGAACAATTTTGGGTGATTCTTTCAAAAACGATGGTCTACCAAAATTTGAAGGACATAAAAATAAATCAAAACTAATTTCAGATGAATAAATAATATTAATTAGTCAATATCGGAATGATAAACAGAGATTATTCATTTTTTTACTTTACCGACACTCGATGAGATCATTGTTGGGTAAAAATGAATTATAACGAAAAATAAAAAAATAAATAATTCAACATTCGATTTATCCGCAAACTTAAATTTTTACAGAAGAATTTAACCGACTTCGTCTAACTTTACTTTTGTTCTTATTCACTGTTCAAAAAAATATTTTAAAAACCAAGAAAAAACAACTTCCAATTTATTTATTTTTAAAAATACGTTGAAAATAAAAAGAAAAACTTTATGTTATGATTCTTATTAATAACGAAAAACAGAAATAAATGGAATAGCATTTTTTGAAAGTCTAAATAAAAAGGAAGTCTAGTATAAATAATTACATAAGGCAATGACAAACTGATCAAAGGGCTTTAAGATGTTGATTCTATTTTTTTAACTTTTGTTTTTTTTTTCAAAATGAAAATAGAACAAAAACCCAAAAGCTATTTGTCTTTCTTGTACCATAGAATAGGATTTTTCAATTTTGAAACGAGTATTCAAATAAAGAATACTTCTTTTATCGGAAGAATTTGTGCAATCCTAAATATATGTTGATCATTAGTGAGAATTATTTAAAAAGTTAAGGTCATAGTGGTATGATTTCGTGTAAATCGTACGATTGACTTTGTGAAAACGACGTAGAGAACAAGTATTGAAATTAAAATAAAAAGTCACAATGCGGAATACGAAAAAATGTCTCATGTAGCATATTGGTATTTTATTAATAACTATATGATGAAAGATTTAATGCAAACTTATTTTCAGATTTGTTTTATTGAAGCTATACTCATTAGAATCTATATCAATGACGATCCATGTAGATCAACGAACAAGTCAACAAAAAAAAATTTCTTGTCTTATTTGATAATTTTCAGTAGTGTTTTTTTCGTTGTTGATAAAGAAGCCTAGACTGCATTTCTTATCGACAATAAAGTTGGCAAAGTGCTGCCTCTGAATTGCTCTTTACGGTCGCAGACGACAAGGCAGAAAGAAGAACAACCAAAATGACTTCATATTGTCTATCGTTTGTGAGAACTTTTGTCATTCTTCGATAATGTGTGCAGTTGATGATTTTCGATACGAATAAATATTCTGCTATAATAAATATGTTACTAAGACTATTTTCATACATATTTGCAATTATAAATGCAGAAACAACACAAAGTAATTCAACTTATCATTTTAAGTTATATCAGGAATTCGATGCATTCTTTCGTATGTAGTTCGGAACTAGTTATTGAAATAAATTCTACAGTTTTATAAACTTCAGTAGCGAAACAAGAGTTTTCTTATATTGAAAATCATTTTATCTTGCCCATAGACATACACGTTAGTCCACAACAACTACCTTTGATATGTCCTGTTGTTTAGAATGCTAAACAATTTATACATTAAGATACAGTGACAAATGAACTTAATGAAATATTATAATAAATAATTGAATCATTTATGTTGTTGATTTTAGGACGTTGTGAAAGCAAATGTATTTATGCATTCACTAATCCTTGTTGTCCATCGTTTACTTTGCCTTCGGCTCAACCGAACAGTCTAGGTGATGTTCAGCTTAACCAAAACAATCCAATCCGTTTAGCTACTACATCAAGCCTAGCTACTGTTCAAGGATGTAATAGTCGTGGATTTTCTTACTATGAAACTAGCTCAGAGCAGTTTCTCAGTACATATATAGATGCTAATGGGCAAAATTCATCGATTGTCAATATGATATATGCCACTAATCATGATCAATTATACGTACGCACTATTCAATTAAATCAAGCCAACTTGAGTCAGTACGACTGGTAACAAAATTCAAAGAAGTGTTCCATTTTATAAACATTCGATTTGATATTGACAAGAAATAATCGTCATAAATTCAAGGTTACCTCTGAAGGAGAGCATTTGAATGAGATAGAAACATCTCAAACTAACATAGTCTATTGATTGATATAATGCTTTTTTCTTTTATGTTAAACTTCTTAGTATAAGGATTTGCGATTTTTACAGCCTTGATTGATATATACTATGGACATGGATATATGCTAATATTTAATAGCCTCATTTCTTACGGGAAAGATACTCAAAATCGATTTGGATTGTAACAATGATCTTCTTGGTTGTGCATATTTCACTGTTGGAAGTAACTCATCAAATACATTACCAAGTTAGAACGATATTTAAATGTTTGTTGTGCAAAACAATAACTTTTGCTTTGAATATTTAGACTTACTAACAAGTGAATCGATTAGATCGCAGTCGATAAAGGCAATCATCAGTAAGTTGTTGGTTGAATTTAGGATTGTTTCATCAAAAAGTTATAAATCGTAATTCTGAATTGAAATCTAGAATTTTCTTGAGCCATTCGGAAGATTTGATCTCAGTTGCTACAAAAAAGAATTCAGCCACAATTAATGAGTTTTGACTGTTTGCAAGGGAGAAAACTTCAGAACATTTTTGGCACTTGTGCCCTCTATATCTTATAGTAGAAAGCGTCTAGGAAATCGGAGTCTATGGCAACTTTTACTCTATTACTCGAGATCTATCTACTTTGAAAATTTCATAACTTTTGGTGGAGTCATTCTTGAAAAATTAGAAAAAGGGTGAGGTGCTCTTAAAATTTTTATAATAAATTAATTTATATATATGTATATATATTATTTGCTTTTAGTATTGAATCTTCTATGTATGCACTGGCTCAAGAACCATTCATATTTCTCTTGATTACAGTATAATATTAACTTCATCAATAATGAACAAATGTCTATCAAAAGAAAATTACTCTTGAAAATTTCAATAGAAGCAAGGCTCCAGACCAGTCTAATAAATAAAGGAACTTTTTAATTCATTTTTAGATATTTTCATTTGATCGAGAGAGATTTATTAAGACGGCAATTTTATTTCAGCTGTGCATACATGTTTTATTGTATGACTGGTAGCATTCATGTCTGCTTTTAAAATTACTCTTGATGTTGACAAAGACGTTCGTGTTGATATTACATATTATTTTCATGAAATCAATGGAAAGATAAATGAATTTTATTAGACATCTAGAGCAGCAAGGTTCGTATCCGGTTTACGATGATTTATAAAAACAACCATGTCGAAGAATAATTATAATTGACATTATATGCTATGGTCATAATTCATCTTTTATTTTGATATGCAACACTTTTAGAATAGAAATCTATTACATATCAATGTATATCGGAAGATTTCTACTGCAAAATGCAGTATATATTATAGAAATTACGTTATAAAGAACGTCGAAAAATATTTATTACTAATTATTCAATAATCAATACAATATTTTCCTCTCTATGTGATGACAATATTATACATAATACAATTTCAATCGATTCTTTTTATTGGTTTTCATTCATCGTATATAGTATGTTAATACTAACTATTATCGTCAACAAAAAAATCAAATAATAATTAAATTCGATAAATATAAGAAAAACATGATTTTTCTAATCATCTCTTTAAATAGTTTTTCAAAGATTTTATGAGTTTATTTGCATTAAAATAGAGCATTATAATCAAAGTATGATTACAAAAACGCTGTTAGTACTGTCTTTATGGAATTAAAATATCAAACATGATGTAATTGTTGCTACTAATCACATGAATATTGTTTTATTCGTTCTATTTTGGAAATATATTTCTTTCCCATTCGATATTTCTCCCATATGTAATAGACTGCTGTTCACGTCTCTGTCACGTTTGTGAAAACTCGTTGCGACAAAATCTGCTATGTATGTGAAGATGCCAAACTTCTGTACTTCTATACTATAACACTCGCTTCAGATCGTGTTGCACGAAAATTAACAAAAAAAGTAATTCAGAAAAAGATGAATGGCTTTGATCGTAAACTGATTTTGTTTTCATATTTCTGTCATCATATTAAATAGATGTAGTATGTCTATGTCTGTTTTTCAAGGACTTGTGAATTTTAGCATGAGCTATGTACTATTGTTATTATGACTCATTTCTTATTAGAAATGTTTGAGAACAAGTTGTTTTAGTGTCTAGTGCCAAATACTAAAAACTCTTAAATACACAATTTTAGATCTTCTTCTAAGAGTTTATTTTGATAGATTTTTTAAAATAACCTCATTTGAACAAAACAAGACAAAATTTAACTGCAATATATAGCTCCAATTTCAATTCCGTTAGCGTTTTCTCTTTGCTCTAATATAAAGATGTTGCAATGTTTGGTTGGCCTGAATCCATTTTCAAATTCTGCTCCTGTACACATTTTAATAGGTCATAGATGGAAGGAAAATAAATATTAATTAAAAAAAAACTGAATTTATGTTCCAAAGGTGTAGGCTGCTTCATTATATATAATAATCAAATCGAAAAAATTCAATTACTTTATTATTCAAGTAGATGTTCTATGTTTTCTCAATAGTGCTTGTTTTCTTTAAACAAACAAAGAACAAAATACATAAATCATAAAAAAAAATATCCAATGAGTAAAATTACATTTTCAAAGTAACAATTTACTCTTAAAACTTGTTTTTATATTTCGATTGTAAGAAATCGAAATATATAAATAATATATCGATATTTTTCTCATGAATTCTGGCATTTAATATAATTGAGCTACTCGTTACGTTTTTATTAGTTTTCTTGAAAATATTTTTTTTTAAATAAGTCAAAAGTTTGAATTCTGAAGATGAAAACTTAAACGTAAACAAATTGAATCATTTTTTAATTTGTTAAATCGAACTATGAATATAAACTTAATATATATTACATTGCGTTCTTTGTTTTTCTCTCAAAACTTTTAACACGTTACTACCATAGAATCAGCAAGTTTTGTTTTTAATTGTTACTTATGATTTTAATCAATAAAATAGTTAGTAGAGATACAATAGAATTCTTTTAACAATTAATGCTAAGTATTGCTTGAAAAGTATTCGAAATTTGATTTGTTGAATATTCGATAGTCTAGAAATTATTTTCATGAATAAGTAATGTTCTATCGAACCAGTTTACATTTGAATATGAGTATAAGAAAAGTCTTCATGTCGATTCGATTAATGATCTTTTTTTTTGTAATTTTTTTATTTATTGAAGAAACAATATAACATTTCATTATATGTCTGCTTATTTGGTAAGACAACAAAATATGTTGTACGATATTTAATCAAAACAATTTACGATTGAAATAAGATTCAGAAAAAAAATTACTCGACGTCATAGTTTGTAAATTTAAGTAGTGAACAACAATTGATAAGTGCTTATTCTTTTGTTTCTAGACGCAAGTAGAACTGATAAAATTGAAACATTCGTTTATTTTATTTAATTATATCTTATTTTAGAAAAATAAATTTCATGATATTGATTATAATCATATATATTTCAACAATTTTTCATCTTTTCATTGTTGAATCAAGTCATTTCTATGGTGGAACTGTAACATGGAAATCTTTAGATAATAAAGCAAATGGTTCAACAGTTTCTGTGATGTTTACACAATCATATCAATGGCGACAATCAGCTGCCGCCTCATATTGCGATCAATCTTATGTTTTGAATCAATCACCACTAATTCCAACAGTAATTACTAAACTTCAGTGTATTACATCTCCAATTAGTTCTTGTGGTGGTTATTATGCACTTAATACCAATGAATATTGTACAGATTTCAGTACATTTCTCGATTCAAGTTCAGGTCAAATTTCGGCAGTTCAAAATATAACAATTGGTTCAAAATTTTGTGTTGCATTTCAAGGTGCAAGTTGGATTGGTCTACAAACAGTCAACTGTGGAACAAGTGTTCCTTCTGCTTCGAATACTACTACTATATCAACAACAACTGTGTCTAGTTGTTATAATAGTGGTTCTAGTTGGTCGATCGGCTGTTGTCTTGATTTATCAATTAGATTAGATAGTATTATTAATACACCACCAGTTGCAACAATTATATCACGTATGTTATTTGTACGAAAAATTATCTTTAGAATACGCTCCACTTTTCAGTCTATTTTATGGTTCTTGCAAACAAACCAGTGTATCAGATTATACTTGTTATAAATAATCAAAACTATTTTTTTTTCAAAAAAAAGTATAATTTAAAAAACAATACGGTTGCGTATATATTGTTATTACTACTAATGCTAAAAATTTAGAATGTCATCTGTAAAATTGAATGTTTCAGTTTACATAAATGGCTAATGAGGTCAGACTGGAAAAAAGTCTAAAAAATAAAATATAAATCTAAAGTACATGCTTGATAAATAAATAATTTTTATTTAATGTTTGTTTATCTAGCTATACATGTACCTGTTAATACTCAAACCAATATTAAACTTCCAGTGATCGATGCTGACAATGATGTTATACGGTAATTTATTCTCTTCCTATAAAATATACGACAATGATTAGTTATATTTCAGTTGTCGTTGGGCTCAGAACACGACATCACTTGATGAATGTGGTGATGTCTGTGGAATAGCACCTGGTAGTACACTCAACAGCAATGACTGTACACTATTATTTGATAGTACAGGCACAATTGTCGGACAATATTATCCTATTACTTTAATGGTTGAAGATTTTTATACGGCATCATCATATTCACCATTTAGTAGTATTCCTTTACAGTTTCTAATTAAAATTGTTAGCACATCTAATTGCTTCATAAAACCGACGCTCAGCTCTAATTTATCAAATTGTACTGCTATTAGTGTTGGAGTTCAATTTAATTTCACATTGACAATCCAACAAGGATGTTCGAATACAACGATAGTAGACATATTCAGAACACCACCTGTATATATGTATAAGAGTGATTTAACACAAATTGGATCGACTAATATATGGATTGCTACTGAATCATGGATACCAACTGTTGACCAAATTGGTTCTCAAGTTTATTGTGCTATGGCAACGGATAGGTTTTAAAGAATCATATTCAATTGTATATTTTTAGACGACTCTTTTTTCCTCTTAGCAATAGTTTACAATCAGATCTATACTGCACAACATTTACGGTTATATCCCTTGGACAAGCTCTTTATTGTAAGTATTAGTTAATAAGTGTCTTTTATTTTTAAATAGAATAATCAATAAATACTTTTAGGTCCGACTGATTTTACATGGAACAGAACAGCAGTGTAAGTTTACATATGTTAAATAACAATAATGAGAAAAAAAAATTTCTTTTTTATTTTATTTTTCTTTTGATAGAACTTCAACTACTTCTACGTATGAAGATATAAAGAATATTTGATAATTATCTTTTTCTCCTGATATTATATTTTTAGAAGTACAACTGCATCCACTAGTACTACAACATCAGCGTAAGTTTTATATTTTTAATGATAATAAATAATTTTGAATTAAAGTACGACATCAACTTCCGTAACAACAACATCATCAGCAACAAATATAAACCAATTGATGATAACAACAGGTTCATTATAATTATATTATTGTTACATAGATTTTTCGTCTATGAAAAATTGTTTTTTTTTACAATATACTTTTAGTGCCAGTTCACGCAAGTGATAACTCTGGATTAAATAGTTTGATTCTTGGACTTATTCTTGGTTTGGGTCTACCACTATTATTACTGTTAACTGCTTTGGCATTTTGCTGTTGCTGTTGCGACCATTTTAAATTTCTCAGGTAATATTAATCTGTGTTATTTTTAAGAATTAAGATTTTTAATTATTCTACTAAATCACTTGATGAATATATTTCTACAATCTTATATTCATATTAATCATTTGATAACATTTCTTTATAATAGTCAAACATTTTGATAGCTTTTTAAAATATTCAAATATTTCTTATTATTCAAGGAATGACGAATGCATTGAGCTAATCAATTTTCTATTCTAATCATTTATATTACGAATGCTTTTTAGTGGTAATTTTTTTCGTCGATATTTTAAACGTAATCGAAATCTTCATCAGCAGGTAAAATAATTTGATTGATTATAGAAAAATTGATTTATCGAAATCAGGATAACTTACCCGATTATCGTCATCAATATATAAATGATAATAATGTATCTCAACAAAAATATGAATTAATATTATGTAATGAAACACAAAATTTTACAAAAGAAAACTCAATTATATCAACGTCACTTTCTGATATTCAAACTAATTATATGAATATAACACGAACATCATTACTTTCACCTTCTTCCTACAGTCTTCCAAATGATGATGTTCAATATACAAGGAATAATTCATCACGAAGTGCCATATCAGCGCAAAATGATTCTATCCTTATGTATGCTTATTCTGTACAAGAAAGTCAAAAAGATCTCTATACATCATAGATTTATTAGACAACTAAACATATACGTTTTAATCAACAACAAAACGAGACATGAATTTTGATTCATAGATATTTTATACTCATTATATCTCGAAAATTTGTTTTGTCCGAAGCATTTTCAATATACTAAAAAAAATAACCTTCTTGATCAATCATTTGAAGAGAAGTTCGATTAAAATGAGTCTTGTTATAGAATAATGATTTAAAAGTGGATATACAGTGAAAAAGTTGCTTCATCGATTAATTCTTTTAAAAAAATATGATAATTTTAATACATAATAGCCTCGAATATGTATTTCGTCAATGGATAAAAATTCCATAAATCGCCCCGAAAAAAGTTTCGAGAGGCTTTCTCAACATCTCTATTCATATATATGACTAAAATCATAATACTGCATGCACTACGAAACGAAGAAAACGAAACATGCATCTATAGCTTTTTCTTTCCGATTTTGATTTATCTAATTGAACATTGCACTACTACTTGAGAAGAGATAACAATATTTAATCTAGAAAATAGAAAATTTCGTGAGAATTATTACACCTGATTCAAGATCATTCTTATATTAGTTTATTTTATTTGAATTTATTAATAATTAAAAGTAGAAACTACATCGGATAAAGCTATCATACAAAACTGCACATTTAGTTAGAGATAAATCAAAAGAAACGAAGATAATCTATGTAGTATGAAGAAAATACAAAAAAGATAAATGCATACTGAAATGAACTCATACTCGTCACAGACACAAGATTAAAACGTAAAAATTTTGTGACGCATCAAAATAAAGGATGTAGAAGAACTTTTTGCAAGTTTCAATAGTATATGGATACTGGCAAATATATCATTAGCCAGTATTATCCATTAATATATGAAAAATTTAACAATTAATCACTTGCATAAGTTCAAGAAGATTAATATGTTTATCATTATCGAAATCACACAATACAATTGAACTTGGTTGCCTGACAAGCAGATATCGAGTATGAGTTTGAAAGGTCCTATGCTCATAGATCAACATCACAGTAATATTATTTTTATCTTGATTGATCACCACTAGACATGTCATATTATTAAGTCAATTTTTATATCAATTTGGATTTCTTTCATTTTTCTACCGGTTGGCATATAAACGTATTCATTTAATAAACCTATAGAAGTCTGTTATTAAAGGAATTTTACTGTTTTGTACATGATCATTATTACGAATTAAAATCTCCAGTTTTGTTTTAAAAAAACAAACACAAAATTACGAAAACTATATGAAAACCTTATTAGAATAGTAATTGTGTACTCTGATAACACATGAAATCAGAAGTGCTGAGATCAGGGCTCTCTCTATAGTGAAAATTATTTGTTATTGCCAAGTTAAACTAGCAAGATTCTTTTCATTTTTATTATTTTTGCAAAACATTTTGATAAACACCCTCTACTCTTCCCAATATCTCTCTTTATTTTACTTATTTTTCAGGTAAAAAACGGAACGATTTCTTTTATTGTGATGCTTGTTATTAATAAACTTGTACAGTTGATAAAAAATAAATTCATAATCAATCTTAGCTCATCTCTGTAATTGAGTTGTTTCATTTTAAAAATTCTTTTCAAATTATATTTGTTTAATATTGTTTTTCTTGTTGATCCTATTACAAAGTACGCTCGTTGTCTATAACGTGCCTTGACATGTGACTAGATTGCCTTGTACTGTTACTATAAACTCGATTCTTTTTTCTCTACAGAAAGAAAAACCTATTTGTACTAGAAGACATTCATATCCTCGACATTCAACTATTAGTTATAAAACGTCACTTACTCTATTATAAACGAAGGTAGGTAAATCGAGTTGATTAAGTTGAAAATTAATTTATCTTTGTTTTTTTTGCTAAAGCGTTCTCAATAAAATAAAATCATGACATCTCATTCATCAAAAGTAAATGAAATGGGTGAATCAAATTTAACAAATTTATCTCGCATGATATAACACAAGTGGGTGATCGTGATATTGATCCAGAGATTGGTCATGGAAAGAAACCTGGAGATCCTCGTGAATCCACGAGTACAGTAAATGATGCTTTTTATCGAGATGAAAAAGATCCACAAACAATGGAAAAACTTCAACAAAATTTTGACCAACAACAAGATCCATTGAACAAGAAACCAGAATAAAAAATAATTGAACGCAAGGAACTATATCATTATTATCCATACAGTTTTTTTTTTCGCTTAAATTGTTATTATAATTTAACAATAGAATAAACTTCGAAAACACATATTAAATGTTTTCATGGTATAAATTTATAAAAACTACAAAATATAAATATAATTATAGGAATATGTTTATAGAAATTAATATTTAATCTTGTTTAATAACGACGTATATTCACTTTTTTTCTGAATTTTGGATTCTTTTTTGCGTCTATGCAATGATTAATCAATATAAAACTATTCGAACTGTTTGCTTTGTGATTATATTAATAGCGATGATTGATAAGGTTAAATCATTGACAAATACATGAATTGACGAGAACAGAGGTTCTATATCTCAACATTGTTATTCAATCTCATCTTCATATAAATATACTCTGCTAACTCTCACTTATCCGTCCTTACACTTAATGACACATTCATCTCTTCTACAGTAGCCATCTCTGTACAATGCTATAACTTGTTCTCTAGTTGCTTGTATATGTTACATGGAGACAACAGCGATTACTCGATAAAAAAGAAAACTGAGATATTTGCTATTTATTCCATCATCCTTCTCTCATAGTTAATCTTTCTAGTGTAGTAGCAGCCGTGTTAAGTGATCTCAAATAAACACACTATTTATCTCTAAAGCTTAGTTTAAACTAAACCAGACATAAAAAGACCATATGAAGAATTTTAAAAAATCTATCTTATATATCAGCGTTATTCTATCATCATTATAAATGATAAAATTATCAACATTATTTTTCATGAAATATTATTCAAATATATAAACAGTATTTGTTTATGATAAATATGATCAATATTTCACATCGAAAAATTAATATTTATTTATTAATTTTAGTTAAAAACAAATGCTATCGATAAAAGATAATCAAACTGATAAACAATCATGTTTTTCTGCAAGAGAAAAACGAAATATTGTAATTTATATAGTTGGTATAGTCATTTACAAATTTGGTTTAGAAGCATTTAATGGATCTATAATGACTCTGGCTACAAATCGTTATGATCAAGATGCTTTAAAAAGACGAATAGCTCCACATACATTTGAACGTGTTGGATTACTTTTTGGTTTAAATCAAGCATCACAATGTGTTGGTTCTATGCTCATTGCTCCACTTATTAAACATTGGCCTTCTCGAATTATTTTATCAATAGCAATATTTATTTTTGCATCATTCACTGCCATTTTAATTATTCTAGATGTTGCTACTGGTGGATCTATAAAACCAAAAAATTTTAATTTAACAAATCAAAATGATTTTAGTTATTATGGTCATTACAAAACTGATTTGATAATACTTATTTTTGCTACAACTGGTATTGCGTATGGAACAGTTGAATCGACTCATCGAGTTATTCCGAGAGATTTGGTTGGTCATAATATTCAAAAATTACAAAGATTTGATGCATTAGTTCATATTTTTTATGCTACATCTGGTGCTATTGGAGCTTTTGTAACTGGCCTTATCTTAATTCCAAGGCTAGGAAATAATCAAGCATTTATCATTACACCAATATTGTTTACTGCAGCAGGAATAGTATGGTTATTCATGAGTTCTGTGAAGAGAAAAAAAAGCAAACAAAAAGACAAAATAACATCAAATAGTAAAAAATTCAAATCAATTTATTTTAAAATAATTCTTAAAAAAGTAATCGCGTTTGGACAAACTTTTTATATTAGTGGAAAAATTATTTTTACAAGTCGAAAATATATTTGGTTATTTAGTTGTTATTCATTAACACTTTATGCTCATCGATATCTTGAAGATGGTATTGCTCCACAAGTTGCTAGACGATATTTAGGTAATTCTGCTTGGTCAGAAATTATTGTTGGAGGATCAAATTTTGGAGAATTACTTGGTGCTTTTTTTGTATTATTTTTATCTAAGTCAATTCACAATCCTATACCTTGGTTACGATTAAGTGCAATAGTATTGATTATTATTTGGTATATACCATATTGTTATCCTCCTATGAATAATATTAAATATGCTTGGATTATTGCTTTAACATTTATTCCTATATCATTTGGATGGTCTGCTAGTGATATAACACTTGCTGCTCATATACAATCATCTATGACACGTCTTGAATCAACATATGAAGAAGTCTCTGTTTTAGGAGCTGTTATGTCATTTCTCTATTCATCTTATATTATTATTTATGCTATTGCAAATCCATTTCTTGGAAAATATATTGATAGAATTTATAAGACTCATGGAACCATAAGACCAGCACTGGTTTATACTGCTGGTGTTCAGTTTACTTTGATTATGGGAATTGTTTTAGCATCTACTTTTATTCCAGCAGGCGCTTTTTCATTGAATCCTAAAATCGAAGATCAAGAAGAAGATTTATCGGAAGAAGATGACAAATCAGATGTATTAATCGATAACAATCATCAATACATGGAATCTATCAAAAATTGAACAAGACTTTTAAAAAAGGAAAACTTCTAAATGATTAATTCTGCTTGTCTTTGACGCCATTTGTTTTCATATTTTGTTTAAAAAAAGTTAGCCTTCTAACATAATTTAACATGTGTGGCAGATTGTGATTATTATAATGACCTAGAAAGTTTATATTCTATTTTCTATTATGAACAATTTGAAACTATTCTCGATTTTCATTCGCAATACTACTTGAGAAAAGAGAGTAGATTATGTGCTTAAAAATTATCTGAGACTAGATGATTTTACTAAGTCAGTATCTGCTTTCAGTTTTTGACCATTTACTTCGTTTTCGTTTAGTTTTCATGACTTTTATCTTTTATTTGATGAGAACTGAAAAGCCAAAAAGTCATTTTAATATTTCACTCGGCCATATAAATTCTATGAAACAAACTTAAATTACAACTTTCATGTAAATTTAAATAATTTTTTAGTATTCGAATATTTTAGTTTCTATTTGAGAAATGTATAATGAATTGCATTCCTCTATTATGTGCACTGATCTAACATGTAAATATAAACAATAAGCCTCTTAAAATAGAAATAAAAAAATCTGTGCTATAGTCTTACCTCTAGATACCTATAGATTTTCATTGAACAAACCTTTTACGAACAAATATAAGCAAGACACACAAGAAAAAAAACATGGTTGAAACGCTCAAGGAGTTCATGCTCTATTCAAATATATGAAAACAACAATCGACTAAGATTTTGTAGAAATAAAGCAAAGCGAGTAGTACTATGAAAATTAACTTTGTCAATCTTCTCACCATTTACTTCTAGATTTGTACATATCGACAGTTTCTCTCCAATGCTTTTTTTTTCGATATGTTTGTTTCATATGAAAATATTAGTTCACATGTCTTCTATGTAGAAAACAAACATTCATCAATTTATTATTAGTTTAAATACATAATAAGTTGAATAGAAATATTTTTTTACGTTTTCTCTACTCATCTCGATCCTTCTTCATTGTACATCAAATATGAATACAAAGAAAAACTTCTTTATGTTTAGATTATTGCTTATTATCAACATAATCCAACTTGGATAGAAGATCGAATAAAACAAAACAATCTTTGACAACAAACATTAAAAAGTTTATTTCACTTTTTTTTCTAGTTTTAACGAAGTTAAATGTAACTTTCACTGATGATGACAATCTAATTCAACTATATTCTCTTATTTGTTATTCTTATTTTACAAAATATTTCGACAAATTGATACATTCCGTGATGTAGTATATAATTCAATGATATAAAATAGAACAAAGATATTATGAAAACAAATAAATTCATGAACAATACATGAATCACTATGAAATGATATTGATAACATTCATCAAAATTTATGATTGAATACATCTGTTGATACACATATTTATCATATATTAATGATGCAAACAACAAATATTAATAATAGTTAAAACTTAATGTTTCATTAAATACAGTTTGATATTGTTCATTTTTTTTGTTCTCATTCTTTTTTTTTAAATTGATTTCATTATTTTAGGATACTAGTGATTGAAACTTCATTTTTGGCACATGTATTTAATACTGTCAAATTTGTTTATGATTGATTATCATCACATAATTTGACTGTTATAGATTCATAATATGAAATAACTAGTGATTCATGAATATCTATAAACTCTTTATATATATATATATATATGAATAAAGTGTTACTATCATGTAATAGAAATCAATAAGACAAAAAATTGATTTGATCAAACGTCCTGTTCGTTTCAATTAAGAATTATTACATAGTTTTAGTATTCATATTCCATCATAAACATCATAAGAAACAACAGAACTATGATTATCATCACTAATCTCAATATAACAATGTACATTTTTCATCAACTTTATCAAACCAACTTAACTATGAAGATCATATATGTAGATCCTATTCATAAAACATTTTTCAACAATATGTTTATTTCTTCTCAAACATATAATTTCGATAAACATTATCATCATCATGTATCAAGTGAAATTAATATGAATAATTCTCATTTATATAGTGAAAACTTTGTCAAAGTAGACACTATTTTCTTTGATTATGTATTTATTTCGTAACACATACACTGAAAACGAGAAAATAGACGGAATTTGTGGCCCTTAAACAGCCATTATCAATCAACATCATGATGGTACACAACATGAAAAAAAAAGTAAAAACAAAAACGAAAACCATAATCAACACTATATATGCCATTATACTCTAAATAATGAATATGAAAATCAAATCTAATTAACAAAACTATAAATCATATAATAACACAATATATCAATGGAAATGATAATAGTATCACAATTAGTGAGATCATGATATTAACAATGGGAATGTATGTCATTTAACCAAGACAAATAAATATTACTCAAGATTAATGTTTTTCTTAATATAAAAACATGTTTATATTATTTTGAATAAATCTCAAAATATGATATTTCATACATAATTATTATTCTTTCATACACTTCTCTAAATAATATGTATTATTTTATGTAAAACAAAAAACGAAAGCTACTAGAAATCTGAAAATATCAGATAAATCATTCTAACATTCGACATGTGTATTAATGGGTGTATCATATACAAAAAACTCAATTGAGTTGAATTATTTAAGAAACATCATTATATAATAATTTGAAAAGCATAAACATTACAAGATTTGATGTGAAATGTATGTTGCTTCAAGAAAAATGAAAGAACCATATCAATACATAACCTATAATCATATATAGGAACAGATCGCTATAAAATGGTGGATTCTTAGAATTCATGTATATGCATTTGTAAGCAAATATTTTTTTTCTTATTCATGATTATCAAGATCAATTACAAAAATGTTACAAGCACTGTTTTTCAAAAAAGCTTTAGCTCAAAACATTTGTCAACTGAAAAAGAAAACAACTGGAAAATTATGTCAAACATATCAAAATTTGGATTTCAAGACTTGATTAACACAACCATAAGTCAATAGCATATCAATAATGAAAAATCATTGCATGTAAAAAAACCTAATTCATATTATTTTCACATATGTTTTGAGAAAATGCTAAAAACTATCCACTTGATATAAAACTTCACTTTCATTCTTATTTTTTTTTTTTAATCTTTACCAAACATGTTCTTCAATAATCTAAATATTCATTGGGAAAAGGTTAAAAAAATACAATTGTATGATTAAATATTATTTGGACAAAAATGGTATAAGAGTCAGTCCATGAACTGAATTTCACTAGATCATGAGTATATTGACACTGATGTTCATCATGAGTAATAATTTTTAAACATTGATTCTGGACAATACAATCAGCCACTGAATTTGATAGAGTCATCACTTGTATTTTTCAAATGATTAGCAAGGTACACCACTAAAATGAGCACTTCAATACTTCTCATAAACACTAAAATTTGATATAATTTATACTTTTTTTTATAATCTACATATATAATGTTCAGTGTCTGTCTGTCTGTTTCTCTGTGCCGAGTTAAAGGTCAAATAAGACTCTAACGGAGAGATCTCCAAGGGCTATTTTCTGAGGTACTTATATATCCTCAAAGGCTATCCTAGGGGGTACCCATAGGTCCTCCAGGGCTATCCTAAGAGGGTATCCATGGGTCCTCCAGGGCTATCCTATAGGGGTACTGTTACAGTCACATGTATCACTCCTTGACTCATCGGTATTTGTTTAT